TATACAATAAGGGTTCATAATTTCACAGGTTGTAAACCTTTTATTCATTAAACACCCCATATAAAACCCAAGCACTGAATAAGAGTACTAATGTACTCACGCAGGTGCATATACAGTACATTTGCAGATAGCAATAGGTTGTCACCATCCTTGCATAATTCTTTATATGTATACAATACTTGAAGAAATGTACATCGTAAACTTAATATACTTCTTTGCGTGATGGATATCTTATTGTTACTCCCCTTTTATGCAAACATTATGGTTTGTTCTTTTGCAATTTAAAGAAAAGTACAACGTTATTTCACTGTTCTTACGCGGTACCTTTCATGCTGAATATCTGGTTGTTACCCCCTTATTACCCGAGCATTACAGTTTGTTCCCTTATACTTACGTAAACGTTATTTATACTTACACTATAGGTACAGAAAAGTACACCGTTATTTCACTGTACTTACGCGGTCATTTTCGTGATGAACATCTGGTTGTTACCCCCTTTTTACCCAAGCATTACGGTTTGTTCCCTTATACCTACACATACGTTCATTATACTTACACAGTACGTACAGAAAAGTACACTGTAATTTCACTGTACTTACGCGGTACTTTGCGGGTTGTAAAAGAAAGCGTTACCCAAATTTATAATCAGCCAATCACATGGCAGCACCTCACTGCATTTAGGCATGTAGACATGGTCAAGACGATCTGCTGCAGTTCAAAGCGAGCATCAGAATGGGGAAGAAAGGGGATTTAAGTGACTTTGAATGTGACATGGTTGTTGGTGTCTCAGACTGGTGCTCAAATGACCTCCACGGTCACCAGATCTCAATCCAATAGAGCACCCTTGGCATGAGAGACTTTGAACGTGGCATGGTTGTTGGCGTTTCCTTCGGCTTAGTCTCAGAGGCACAGCGGAATGAACCGCCAACTAATCCAGCATATGTTATACGCAGCGGATGTCTTTCCAGCCACAACCCAGTACTGGGAAACACCCATACACACTTATTCACACACACACTCATACACTACGGCCAATGTAGTTCATCAGTTCCCCTATAGCGCATGTGTTTGGACTTGTGCGGGAAACCGGAGCACCCTGAGGAAACCCACGCCAACACGGAGAGAACATGCAAACTCCACACAGAAACAACATCTGACCCAGCTGGGACTCGAACCAGCGACCTTCTTACTGTGAGGCCACAGTGCTAACCATTGAGCCATATTTAATGCACACAAAAAAAATACAGGACGCACAAATGTTTTTTGTGTATTTTATTTTATTGATTCTTCTCTACTGTTTTTTTTTTTTTCTCAATCCACAATTTCATATTAGTCACTACTATGTTAGATCAGCGTCTTCTGCCACCAACAGCAGTCGGCTATACTGAACAGATCAAACCCAAACCGTCTCTCCAGCTCTCCCCGTTCGCCAGATAATAGTGATCAATTCACACTCTTCTGGCGGTGGAACAGCAATGAGGAGGGGGGGAAAAAAGTGCACGTCAAACTGTTTGAGCAGCACGTCACTGTTTGGGAATACTTTATGCTTATTTCACAGTGTCAGTATATCTTCACAAAATATTAATAGATTTTTAAGACATCGATGCACACACACACACACACACACACATACACACATACAAAACAAACACACAAAACAAAACTATTGCCCTGATCCCTGTACACAGTTAGGCCATCCTAAAAGAGCCATGTATCATCACCACGAATGCAGATGTCTGGCTCCAAGGGGAGCGATGGAGAACAGGTGTCGAGGTTTGATCTCTCGTTAAAAACACAACATCTCTATTTCTATCTGTACAACATTCAAAAGACACATTTTGCTCATGTTTTTTTTTTTTCGTTTGTTTGTTTGCTTAGTTTTTCTTCCATAAAACAAAAAAGAACAATGATAATAATAATAATTATGAGCAGAAGAGCTTGATTTCATCTCATCGGCATCAACGTAACATCATAGAAATTAAAGTAACTTCTAAAAAACAAAAGGCCTCGGAGCTAGATAGCACGCAAGCTTTCATCGGTGCATACGCTAAACGGTGAGGAGATGCCACAGCACGTATGAATGAAAGAATGACGCTCGTTTGTTTTCCGACATGGACACACGACCACCCCCACATCTGACGTCTCAAGAAAACAGAGGATCAGATACGGAGAGCACAGTTTACCGAAGAATACAAAGTGAAACAGTAGGGGCTAAGTGCTTTTGGTGAGCGTACAAAATACTTGAGGAAGTGCTCAGGACAGAAGGCACAGTGGCTTGACTGTTATCTCGAAGGAAAAACCACATCGGGGGCTACCGAACGAACGCATACGATAATCGACACACAAAACAAGGACACGATAACGCACGTATTAAGGCCAGCCTCTGTCAATCAGGGGACAAAAGTAGCGCCCACTCGGCGTGCCGAACGATGAGATGGAGATGAGTGCTGGACGAGGAAAGTAGATCATCGTTCGTGTGATGTGCTAATTCCACATCAGAAATGCGACACAATTACATGAAATCAAATTTGGCAAGCAGATCAGTCAGACTGACGGTGCTGATGCTGGGACATGTCTTGGACACGGTCTCGGCGTCAGCTTATAAATACACTAGCAATCGCTGAAGTTTCAAGATCATCAGGCAAGTTTTAACATTGATTGTGTGTCTGAATGATTGATTTTTTTGATTGATTAATTGATTGATAAATATATAAACACATCATCTAAGGCAGGGATGTCCAAACTCTGTCCTGGAGGGCCAGTGTCCTGGAGAGTTTAGCTCCAGCCCTGATCAAATACATTTGAACCAGCTAATCAAGCTTGTACTAGATTAGGGATCACCAAACATGTTCCTGGAGGTCCGGTGTCCTGCAGATTTTAGCTCCGACCCTAATCAAACACACCTGAACAAGCCAATCAAGGTCTTAGTAAGTATACTTAAAACACCCAGGCAGGTGTGTTGAGGCAATCCTGCAGGGCACCGGACCTCCAGGGACGAGATTGGTGACTCCTGTACTAGATATACTAGAACAGGGGTGCCCGTACTCAGTCCTGGAGGACCTGATGTCCTGCATGTTTTAGTTCCAACCCCAATTTAATACACCTGAACCAACTAATCAAGCTCTTTCTAGGTATACTAGACTTTCAGCAATAAAGGTACCTGAGTTGTCACTGGGGTGGTACCTTTAAAAAGGTACAGATTTGTACCTAAAAGGTCCATATTGATACCTCAAGGACGCATATTGGTACTTAAAAAGTACAAAAGTGTTCCTCTTAAAATTTGTAGGTACTAATATATACTTCCGAGGTACCAATATGGATTCTTCAAGTACAAATGTGTACCTTTGAAAAGGTACCACCCAGGGCCGGAGCAACATGAACTGCCGCTCTAGGCAAAGGACGATCACGCCGCCCTCAACCCGAAAGTGAAAACGCAAATGACCGGTTAACAAATTGAAGACTGGTTAGCAAACTGAAGTGTATGGGGTGCCGGGTCGCGGACATAACTGAGGGCGCGGGTGTTGAAGGAGGTGCGGAAGCCGCCCTCTCTATTCTGCTGCCCTAGGCGCGGATATAACTGAGGTGGCGGGGGGCGAGGGAGGTGTCGCAGACACAACTGAGGGCGCGGGTGTTGAGGGAGGTGTCGCGGACGCCGCCCTCTCTATTCTGCCACCCTAGGCGGTCGCCTAGGTCGCCTCTATGGATGCACCGGCCCTGGTACTACCCCAGTGACAGCTTATATACCTTTATTTCTGAGAGCGTAGAAACCTCCAGGCAGGTGTGTTGAAGAAAGTTGGAGCTAAACCATGCAGGACACCGGCCCTCTAGGACAGAGTCTGGACACCTCTGTTCTAGAAACGTCCTGGCAGATGTGTTGAAACAAGTTGGAGATAAACTCTTTAGTACACCGGCCCTCCAGGACCAAGTTCGGACACCCTTATACAAGAAACTTCCAGGCAGGTGTGTTGAAGGAAGTTGGAACTAAACCATGCAGGACACCGGCCCTCCAGGACCGAGTTTGGACACCCTTGATCTAGAGGAATGTGAATTGTATCTGCAGCATTATGAAGAAATGGATTGGGAAGAAAGACCAAAAGTTTAGTGCGCATGTAAAGGCAAATCAAAAGTAGGGTTTAAGGGGGAAAAGAAATTTGCACAGTGCTCTAAAGACATTCTGAAGCAGTCTTCTTTCATAATTATTATAATACTTATTACTTTTCTCCATATCCGTTTCCATTAACACTTCTTAAAAGGAAAACAACGTTTTTTTTATTCCTCTTTTTGATCTCTTATCTTTACAAAAGCTACATATGTTCTACTGGGATGTCTGAATTTGTTAGTGTGTGTGTGTGTGTGTGTGTGTGTGTGTGTGTGTGTGTGTGTGTGTGTGTGTGTGTGTTTTCCTTTTTGATATAAAAGAAGTCTACTCACATTTAAAAAAGAAACGGCGAACTGAATGTTTTAGTAGTAGAGACCCACTGTCCACCAGATGGTAATATTACAGGGATATGATGGATATATTGCAGAGTCTAGATTGTGGTTTCAAACCCTGAAATTTGAACTCTTTTTCATAGGAACGGTGGTCTGGATTCCACCAGGGAAAACCCGGCGGCATCTGAAATGTAAACACTTCCATAGGGCCCCAATCAAACGGCCAGCTGTTCCCACATGTAGTGCTCTAGGTTCATTCACTGTTTCATTCACAGCAGATATATTCACACAAACTGCCACCATATTGTCACAGAACTCTACGCTCTAGCACAACTACGCATATATACTGTATATATTCACCGTTAACTATATTACTGTGTTGTTGAATCTGCTAAAAACCTTTTACATCGACAGGCACTGAGAGAAATAGCATATAGACGAGGCAGCAACTCTGTTTCATATAATATCTGAAGAAAACCCGTCGGAGAAGACTGGCAGTGTGGGTATCTGGTAATATAATCTGTACTCTGCCCGGTTCTGTTAAGAGGTGATTCGCGAGTACCATTGAGTTATCACAGCATTCAGTTCAGAGTCTGGCAGGTGCATGGTAAGAAGTGTGCTCACTCCTTTGGTTTACTGAAGACGTGCTGTCAGGTCAAGTTTACATGGAAGTAGGATGTCCGTTCGATATGCGCTTAGCGTCTCTCTCAGCATTAATACTGTATATCATAGTGATTAAGAACAGTGTCTCTTTTTTGCTTTTCCGGCTCCCCAGATTGACATTCCAGGTCCTGGTTGAGATGAGAGCAAGATTCACAGCGAGGAAATTGTACTTGAAATACAACTTGGCAATTGTGTTCACTGACGAGAAGACAGGAACTAGAGAACAGTGTTCAAAAAGGCCCCGAGACAGACAGGCTTAGACTAGCATACAATACTGGATATCGCTGTGTGATTGAGTTCCTGTGTGTGTGTGTGTGTGTGTAGAGGTAAACGATCGCTAACCAATGGGGTCTAGGAGGGTATGTGAAGGGATTGAACACTGATCTGCTAACTGATTACATGCTGTACAGTATGTTAGCATAGCGACTGGTCTGCCCTTGGTTCGAGGGATGCAACCTCCGCTCCCTCAACCTCCAACCTCATCCAGGGCTCTCTTTAGATGCTATTCCCCCAAGACACCTTCCTCCTCCTTAGGCAAGTCATCATCCGGGAGGTCTGATGAAACCGACTGAGCCCTTCTGCTCTGATTTTGGGGGACGTTCGCAAAGCTGCCATTCGCTTCTAGGTCATTCTCCTCCTCATCAATCTCCTCGTCTTCCTCATCCACATGTTCGCTCATTTGAGGTTTCTTTTTTCTGCTTCTGAAACTTCCCATAGCTCCAGACGCCAGCTCCAAGTTGTCCTCTGTTTCCCTGTTCTCCGGACTGACTCCATTCTCGGCTCTTGCCGAGACCCAATCTTCAGGAGATGCTACTCCATCCTCTACACCGAGGAACTTCCACAAAGCCAGGGGATCCCGATCTGGCCTGGCCAACTTTTGAGAATGATTGTTGGAACTGATAGGTGCACCCCTCTTGCGCCGAGACTTGCTGGTGTGATTAACTTGCAGGTGCATGGCCATCAGTTCAACAGAAGAGGTTCGGAAGGGACAGAACACGCATTGATTGAGGATGTCATTCCCCCCTTTAGAGCCACTTGAAGGTCCACTTCCAGACTGGCTCACTCCTCCTTCATCTTGTAAAGGGCGACGGGAAAGGTCCAGAGGTTCAAAGCCTCCTTCCTGGGATGTCATCTTGTCCTGAAAGCCATTCGCTGACACCATACGGCTCGTAATTTGAGGTTTTCGTCTAGATACTTTGGGCACTTTAGGAAGTGTTACCTCCCCAATCCAGCTTTGCTCTAAACCACTAGGTAACAGTGCACCCATCATGCCTGACAGACCCCGATACTGACTTTCAAGGTCTCCCTCTCGATGATGTGCAGATGCAGAAGAGCCCTCCTTCTTCTCTGACAGGCCTATAGTCCAAGACTGTGTGTGCCTTGAGGAAGGAGCCTCTCCAGGAACCCTCCCGAAAGAAGACTGCTGGGACATGGAAGGGAGACGGCGTTTTTTGGCACCTTCACGAGGAGACCCGGTCAGAGACGGTAGGCTAGGCGATGGAGAGTTTGGGGAGGTTGCCATAGCATTCCTTTGCTCACGATGATGACGTTGAAGGTGGTACTTGAGAGAGCCAGACTGGGTGCCAGCATAATCACAGTGGGGGCATTTGTATGGCCTCTCGCCTAAAACAAGGAATAAAACACTTTTGTTAATTAGGTAAAAAAAACGTACATTTTGTAGTTCAGCAACAGAAGTTTGGCTAAGAATAACACTGCTTAATAAAAGAGTAAGCCATGATTAGATACAAATGTATGTCTGTGATACAAGTGTACATGCAATTGCACACAGTAACAGATAGATGGCAGTGCTTGTCATCATATGTCAGATCAGGTACAGTCCCCAGTGCATTACTGTAAAATTAGGACATTCCATCTCTCATCAACCATAAGAACACTCCATTCCCTTTTTTTGGAGAAGACATTTTGTGGAAAACCTAATAGCCAGAAGATGGTTTCAATCAAACTAAATCAAGAAAAGTGATCACATAGGAGTTAAAAAAATCGAATGAATATGAATAACACATATGAATGACAAAATAATAACCACAAACACAATCATTACTAACCATTAAAATGGTTTACCCCAATAACGGTTAATAAAAGACATCCATGTAAAATCAAACAATACAAATGTTACATATTTTACACTAAACAAGGCATTTAATGCTTCCAGGTTAGAGCTTGGTGCCTATTTTGCTACAAATATCATCCACAAAACATACCAAATTAAAAAGTAATATTAATTATGATTATGTCGCTTTTGATTATTACTGTTACACAGTAAGGTCTGTAAATACTATATATAAATAATGTTAATTTCATATTGTTGTTTAATGTTTAAAGTTGTCTTTTTAAAGTAATTCTGACAGCTTCGTCCATGAAAACCAATTAAATACCGCCTGAGGTGTGCATGCCACTGGGCTGTGGATCAAAGATCTGGTATAAACGTAAGCCTCACCTGTGTGTACTCGAAGGTGCACTTTAAGGTGATGGGAAGACCGGAAGGCTTTTCCACAGTAGGGGCAATCTTTCATCCCTGTTCCACGAACACGCTCTCTTGGAGATGAAGAGGAAGGGGATGATCCCCTCAGACCGTTCTGACCTTGAAGTAAGATAATGCATAATGAAGAAAAGCAAAAGCACTGAAAAAAATAAACTGTTTCTGAAAACAATAGCGGTGAAATTGGTAAAAAATATATATATAAATATCGTGCATTGTGAGAGCTCATAGAAGATAGTAGCAAATAAGAAATACTGTCCTGATAATGTCATCTGTTTTTGATTATTAAGTTGATCCTTACCAGAAAGATGTGATATGACAGAATGGAAGCTCCCGGATGCCCCGACTCCTGATGGGAGCTGCTTTCCCTCCTGCCTGCTCTCATTTTCACCAGTTCTCTGTCCTGCTCCGCCTGTTGCCTGAGTTCCACTGACTCTGTTTATGATGTCCTCTTCCCTGGACATGCCCCCTCTGGCACTTTGACCTTTCTGTGTTTTCTGGACATGGACATGGGCATGAGCAACCACCTGCTGGAGGCTTCTGAACAGCTTGCCGCAATCTGGACACTCCCAAGGTGCACTGGATCCATCCAGTTCCTCTCTGGAACCCAGTCCACCGAGATAGGCCCTCATGTTCTTGGCTTCCCCAGCAACTGTTGCTCGTGATGAAGGATGCTGATGGAGTGAATGGGATCGCTGCTGCTGTTGTTGCTGTTGGTTGTGCTGCGCTGCCACCAGACTGCGGGCAACCAGCTGCCACATGGCTGCCTGGTCTGCTCCGTCTGCTGAGTCACCTCCCCGTCCTCCTCCGTTACCCATTTCTGCAACCTGTGCCACTGCCTGAAGGCGCTCCATGCAACTTCCGTTGCTGCTATCTTTAGGTAAGCCCAGATAGCCCAATATAGAGGATTTGCTTGAGCCCGCACTAGCATCTGACCTCTCTGTGCGACTTCCCGAACCACCACCACCTGCCATGCTGCGAGCCAGGAGCAAGTTAGAGTAAAGAGCCCCAAGCACTTGTGAGCTTGCAGGACCTTTGGATTGATCAGCTCCAGGTGGACCCAGATTTCCCAATCCAGCCTTGAGGCCCAGCTTGTTGAGATGCACCTTCATATGGTTTTTGAGGAACCATGGTTCCTTGAAGCCACGGCCACACACCTGGCACTTGTGATCCAATGAGTCCTTGTGCTTCCTCATGTGCCCTTTTAAAAACCAGGACTGTGTAAAACGCTGCCCGCATGTCTCGCATCGGAAAGCTGGAATTACAGACATTTGTGGGACGGGAGTTTCTGGTGGTGCTTTTATAGCGCCAGAGGGGAAAACTGCTTCAGCAGGAGGATCCTCAGGTGGGTGGCTCTCCTGCAGATGGGCAGCCAGTCTTTCCTCCTGACTGGCAGAGAAGGGACACATGGTACATTTATAAGGGTTGTGGAGAATCCGAACATGACGAGCCAACTCTGAAGCGGTACGGAACTTTCCCTTGCAAGCGTGACACCGAAAGGCAGGAGCAGCAGGGGAGGGGGTGTTGTCTTCCAACTGCGCATGGCCAAGTGGAGAGAAGGAGGTTGAGATTGGTGCTTCCTCAGTTAAAGGTGGAGTCAGGGCTGTGGTTCCTTCAAAGAGGAACTGAGGGCTGCTAGCAGTTTGAAGAGGTTCCTCTGGGACCATGTCTTCATTCATACTCTTCTGAAATGACCCAGATAATGGATTCTGGATCATGCTGTTGCTCTCATGGTTTTGCTGGAGTTTGGAGTGTGTGGTTCGGTAGGGAGCTGAAGCCCGTCGCTCTCTGTCCAAACTGTGCGCTCGAGCGTGAAGAGAAAGAATACTTTGAAAGCGGAATCTCTTTCCACACACATGACAAGGGAACCTTAGGCCAGGCCCAGAGCTAGTTCCTCCGGTCACAGCTATGCTCTCATTGTTGAAAAGCTGAAGATCCAGCTCATCATTGCAGGTGGTACTTTGACCAGAAGAGATCGCCTTCTCAAGAGCTCCAAAACTAGGGAAAGGTGCCAGTGGTGTGGCTGGAGGGCTGCTCTCTGATGAGGGACTGCCAAGTTCCAGTTCTCCCGGAAACAGTGCCACCGCTGGGGTGGGTGATGGGGGTGTCGACAATTCCTCATCCTCCTCCTCCTCATCTTGGAGGCTGGCTTCAGGAAGGGGGCAGGGTGAGACTGGGGCATAGAGTTCAGTTTGAGGGCTGGAAGGGGTAGATTGAGGACTCTGGGGAAGGAATTGGGGACTGTGGTCCAGGGATGGCATGGAGGGAGGAGACAGTGGGGGCTCACAGGAAAGAGCCAGCATACATTCTGGTGGGGAATCCATACTCTAAGAGAGAAAGGACAGAACTATTAGACTGCTAGCTAGCTAGATAAATAGACAGAAAGATGGACGGATCTCTCACCGCTGATGTGTCTATGCCATGCTTCACTTCCTTGAATTAAAGAGGGTGTGTTCTTATGATGGCAATCTGCCTGACCACCTCCAACAGTCCCCTGTCAAGCACACAACAGAATCAAATATTAGTGTACACATGCTTGTTCCTGTGTACGGGTCTAAGGGCAGAGCAGGACATGGACTGTCCCAAACAGGATGGGCGCGAGATGTTTGGACTTCCCCACACACCCTTCCTGCACAGTGTACAGTAGCCGCTTAAATCAGCACAAAAATATATACGCACATACCTTGAAATACAGACAGAGATGCAAGCCCTACACTCCCTAGGCTACTCGTACAGGCACACAATGCACCGACAGAAGTGAACAACCACATAAAGAAGCACATGCATAAGTCTGAGGCGGACAGGCCCAGACACAGCTTAGAAAAAAAACAGCCACCTGCCTCTTTCATAAATAAGAGAAAATGAATTTCATTGATGATTACAGCAAGGCAGTCTGCTAAACATCTGTGAGGGCGTCTGTATGCCTGGATATGTGTCACTATGCTCGCTCGTGTGGGTGAGGTTGCTTTTTTTCAGGATTTACCTCAGTGAACAGACTGAACTGTACGTCTGTGTCTGAGTTAGGATTTATGCACACAATCAAGTGTCTGTGCGTGCGTGTTAGCATGCGGGTGTGTGTTAGCATGTGTATCTGTGACACAAGACTTGGATGAAATGGTGGCTAACAGAGCCAGTTGACATTTTAGCTCAGCCGTGACTCACACGGATATCACACTATATCAATCACGCTGCCCCCCCCTCTGCTCGTCTTTTCTTTCTTTCTTTCTTTCTTTCTATCTTTCTTTCTTTCCTTCTTTCTTTCTTTCTTTCTCCCACCATTATTGTTCTTCGTTTCCTTCCATCTTTTCACGTCCATGGATTGTGATTCCACCCCCTGCAATTTTTTTCTCTCCTCTTTTCACCCTCATTCCCTCCTCCCTCTGTTCTTCACTGATTTTCTTTCATTCTATCATTCCCTCTCTCTCTCTCTCTTGCTCTCTGCAGCGATGCCAATTGGCACGGTGCCAGGGAATGCTGATATCAGCTGGTAGATTGGGGCCTGCCAACATGGCGAAGAGAAAAGAAAGAGAGAGGAGAGACAGACAGGCGAGAAAGAAAAGAATGGGGGGGGGTGTTAGAGAGGGGGGGAAAACAAATGAAAAACACAAATACGCTCTGAATAAGCATATTTGATGAGTAAATCTGTCGAGAGAGGGGACAGAGTGTTCTGCTTCGCATTGGAGGATCTGTTTGGTCTGCTGGCATTATTATCATATGAATATCGTCATGGCAATGCACTGTTCCGCCTTGACAGACACGTTCGTGTCTGACCAACCCTTTCACGCCAATAAAGCTTCTCCAAATTTGGATAGATGGAGAGAGTGATAAGGTGCTAGACGGGGGGGGGAGGGGAAAGATGAAGGCAGGAGAGCGATAAAGCAGCATGCGCAAATAATGCATTCACACACACACACACACGCATACACACACTCAATATGGCACCTAGTCACTAGATGATTCATGCATGCTAAACACCTTTGTCTGAATGGCCACATGCTACACTCCCAGTACGAGCGCACACAAATGCACGTGGACACACATTCTGTTTTCGGGAAATGCACATATTCTGACGTACAGAAGGCGTATGGTGTAATGGAATGAACACTAGACAAACAACAACAGCACAGAGAAGACAAAGGGGATGGATTGAACGAAGTGCATGTGATTATTTGATCAACATGAACACTGGAAGTCACCGATAAACATGAAATGGCAAGACTTCCACTGAAATCAGCTGATTCTTCCGTCATCTAAGTATCGCTGATTGGTTTTATTAAACATTTGCTAGTGAAGGGCCGACCTTTTATCATATCCAACAGATTATGCTACCAACATTGTATTTGAATGGTTCTGAGGTTGGGGTTAGGGTGATTTCACAGTGTTATATCACACTACTCCACATTAAAATTGACACTGGTAGCTAAATCTTCAATTGACTGGTACAGTGCGATACGGTACGGGTTGGTACAGGTCACCTTTATCAGGCTTGCGTTACCACTGCCTAAATGGCACCCTTTTGGTAGCGTAGTGCAGGGGTGGACTGGCCATAGGGAGCACCAGGACATTTTCTGGTGGCCTGACGGTCTATCTGCACCCCCCACCCCTTCATAAACATCGCATTCACCCTTATATTAAATAAATACACAAATATGAACACATACAAACCCTAGAAAGAATCCTTTGCTCCTCGCGTTTGTCTGTTTCTGAAAGGATCGGATGTCAGAAGCACTATCATCAGCTCAAGATGTTCGTTATTTCAAATACAGAAGCGCGGCGAGCGAGAAAGCGAAACCGCTCACACTTTTAGCAGATTCTGTTCATCATGGCAGTTCATCAAGACAACGACAAGGTTTGTTCGAGCTCGGGTCAGCCATGGATTGTTATTATATGCATGTAGTATTACGGTGTAATGTCTCAGCAGTGTATTTAAAATGGTATTTCTTTGTTTTCATTTTTCTGCTTTTGTATGCACGAGTGACGCTTCTCTGTAAAACAATAGCCTTCAGCTGCGCGTCTAGCTCTGCCTTTTGGTAACCTTTTGCCGTGCAAGCAGGGCCGAATCAACCAATGGGCATTCTGGGCCCTTAGGGCCTCTGCGGGGAGGGAGGGGGGCGATTTTGGAGTGTCTATTTAGGCTAAGTGCAAATAGCGCATCTCATTGGAATAAGCTATTTGAGTGACTACCGCTCATTACTGTTTGATTGACAGAGACAACATAACTAAAAAGCGCGATTGACAGCAGCGTGAGCGGGGCATTTTGACACGATCGATCATCAACCGGTTCGAATGCAGCGTCTGATGAACGAGTTCTTCTTATTTTCTCCACTACTTATCAGACTGAAAATCTGTTTATTTTTAATAGAAAGGGAATATTTTTGTTTCAAAATGTAAATAGTGAGAATGTGATATAAAGTCTCAAGTGGCTCGAGGGTATTTAATAAAGTTTAGCCTATTTCATAGACGTATTAACAGCATCTAAATAGTTATTTCAAATATTCTATAAACAATTATTTTCCAACTGGTGTTAAATCTTAGCAACATTCACATGATTTACAACGAATACTAAAATAAATAAAAATAAAAAAAATAAAAAAATAAATATATATATATATATATATATATATATATATATATATATATATATATATATATATATATTAGTACTGTTTCAGTGAACTTAAACTTGAACGCATAATTAATTTTCACTAATTTTATTAGTAATTTTTTTTTAATCAAAGTGTCTCAAATGCTTAAAAAATGAGTGAAATCTGTGAGGACTATATATACATGTACTATATGTCATTTATTTTTAAAATGTGGGCAACACAATATAGATTTATTTCATTAAAAAATTTTATTATTATTTTTTTTAAATTCAACTATAGGGGAGCGACCGGGTAGGGGGTAGTGATGGGAAGTTTTTTACTGACTCGTAGATGAACGAATCTTTATTTGAGTCATTTCGTTCATTTGGTTCAATTCGCTAAAATATTATTAAAATGTTACGAATTGCTTCCAAACACATCTACAACTAGCCCAAAAGGTTGATCACATGACAAACAGGTCACAAATAGAATACTATAAGGAGAACATAATGATTCAGTGTTGACCTGCTCTTTTGTCTATGAAGGTTTTGTTGTCTCTTTGCTCAGTTCACCTCTTCATGTCTTCAAATGTCAGGGGTTCGTTCACGTTACACTGACAGTCACATATAATCTTAACCAATGCACACAGTCTGAGCTGATCTTCTAGTTCTTAAGTCATTCGTTCATCACATGACAGAATGACGCAAACTCGAGGACTCGAGAGATGAACGGATCAAATCTCTTTCCGGCTCTAAACGCATATGATTGGCCTGTGAGGAACGAATGACTTAAACCCGATAGAGGACTCGAGAGATGAACGGATACATTTTTTTCCGGCTCTAAACGCATATGATTGGCTTCTGCCTTTCCGCGATGAACGACTCAAAAGACTTGAAATGAACGATACCATCTGCACAAATGTGCGCACGCGCGGATGAACGAATCACTCCCTGAGAGGACTCATAGTTCCAGAGTCATATTGAAGATTCGTTCAAAATGAATCGTTCATGAACGACCCATCACTAGTTGGGGCCCAACATGACAATGTGCCCAGGGGCCTCTGAATTCTTCATCCGGGCCTGCATGCTGGTTACCCTTTGCAAAGGGTGCCCAAAAAGTGGAACGGTTCTGTACCTTCTGACAGTGGAAACGACCATAAAAGCAACCGAACCATACTGAACCACTCAGAGGAGACGGGCCTCCGGGACAATCTGACAAGGTGGGACAAATGGTCAGAACATCGGTATTAAAAGTAACTGTCACGCTTAAAATGCGGTTGCATTTCCACGAACAACAACATGTTCATCCCTTTCATAAAAGCTGAACAAGCACTTGAGTCCTCTTTGATTTGTTTCTGACTGCGGTGGGTTTTCTGTAGCCTTGAGCACCTGAAATAACGTCTCCTGCCTCCGGACACTCCGGCCTCCGACAGTGTAGCCATGTAATGCATCTGAAGGCTAAACAGGGATCATTCATACGCACTGAAAGACTCTAGACTCGTAGCCTTGAGAATGTAACATGAATGGCTTTATCGCTGCCGGTTCTTTGATATGTGGAGCGAGCGACATCTTTAAAACTGAGACTGCTCAGTATGTGATGCCTGTGTGTGTGTGTGTGTGTGTGTGTGTGTGTGTGCAAGCTCCGAGGCTTGAACTGCTCTTTACTTTTCTAGCATCTCTGAGTGGGATTTCTAAGGTCAGTGTGTGTACGATTCTGGATTGTTGCAGTCACACAACAAATCCCTACAGACAAAATTCATTTCCTGTTTCTAACCTCGGCCCGAACTTCATCTCGGTCAGCACCCCGGCCCCCACACACTGCTGCTTTTCTTCCTGTGACTTTGGCATGCGCAAACTTCTACTTTTTCATGATGAGCGAGCTTCGTTAAGTCATCCTCAACCTTCACCTG